TGATTCTTTTTGTTTTGTTAAGAGGTTGTCAGCCTAATCTATCCTTCATGAAGTTCCCCATTAGCTTTTTTTCATATAATGGTTCTAGCTGAGATTGACTTTTATTTTATTATTGCCTAGATCATTAATTTGGAAGGAGTTAAAAAATAGTCATGTTCTACCTCTGTCATTTTTCTGCATATTATTGGCTGAAATTGTTCTATAAGGAAGAATTTCCTCTCATTAACTAGCCATATCTTTCCTTTTTCCTAAACTGCTGAAAAACTCAAGGGGCTTACCCTCAGCCAGGTTCTGGGCTTGTGGGTACTAAACTTTTAACAGGAACCCACTGAATTGGAACTCTGTTCTGGTGTGTATTATAATTTTCACATCTTCAAGCTGGCATTTCACTGAGTTGTTTTTATGCATTTTCAATATCCCCAGAGGCGGCATATAACCACACCAAACTCTCTGGGTTGGCCAAAGTTTCTCCTACGGGTACCAATTATTATTTTTAGGGTTCTTATTACAAAGTTGCATAGTCTTGAGTGGATAGTTTCTAACGCTTTTTCTCATAAGCTCTATAATTTTTATTATACAGCTTTGCAGATGACACTAAAACACCTTTTTTTTTTAAGAGAACATATGAAAACACACTAACATCCCTAGTTCAGACTTAAAATTTCCTTTTTTACAAAAGTTATTTGATTTTATATTGCTCTTTTCTCTTATGATGTGATTTTGGCAATTCCTACATTAACATAAATATGTATTTGCTTCAGCCAAATATGTGAGATTTAGTAAAGCAAAACCACTGTTTTTACTAATAATATCATTACTGAAAATAGTTTGATTTCTTTGCAGTTGTTTTGGTCTGTAGGAAATATCCTACTAGGGATGCACAGTCAACCAATGTTTTAGAATCACTTGAAATAATTCCTCTCCATAGTTAAACCACCAACTAGTTAAATTCCTTTTTTTTTTCCCCCTTTGAACTTTTAGGTTCTCTCTCCTTTACAGATAACACTTTTTATTGGTTTTGTGTTCTCCTTCCATTGTTCTTGTTATATATATTTTTTAATAGAAGCAAATACATATTCATGTTACCCCTTTTTTGCTAAATCTTTTTTAAAATATATTTTATTAATTATGCCATTACAGTTGTCCTATTCCCCCCTTCATTCCCCTCCACCCTGCACACCCCTACCCCACCATTCCCCCTATTTAGTTTATGACCACGTGTCTCAAGTTCTTTAGATTCTATATTTCCCATACTATTCTTGCCCTCCCCCCATCTATTTTCTACCTACCATCTATGCTACTTACTTTCTGTACCTTCTCCCCCCTTCTTCTCCCACTCCCCTGTTGCTAACCCTTCATGTGATCTCCATTTCTATGGTTCTGCTCCTGATCTAGCTGTCCTCTTAGTTTGTTTTTGTTTTATTTATTTATTTATTTATTTATTTATTTGGGTAATCATATGTGAAGCATTTTATTTTATTTATTTTTAATATATTTTATTGATTATGCCATTACAGTTGTTCTATTCCCCCCTTCATTCCCCTCCACCCTGCACACCTCCTCCCCCACCATTCCCCCTCCTTTAGTTTATGACCACGTGTTTCAAGTTCTTTAGATTCTGTATCTCCCCTATTATTCTTGCCCTCCCCCTATCTATTTTCTCCCTACCATCTATGCTACTTATTTTCTGTACTTTTTCCCCCCTTCTCCTCCTCCCACTCCCCTGTTGCTAACCCTCCATGTGATCTTCATTTCTGTGGTTCTGCTCCTGATCTAGCTGTCCTCTTAGCTTGCTTTTGTTTTAGGTGTGGTTGTTAATTGTGAGTTTGCTGTCCTTTCACTGTTCATCTTTTTTATCTTCTTTTTCTTAGATAAGTCCCTTTAACATTTCATATAATAAAGGGCTTGGTGATGATGAACTCCTTGAACTTGACCTTATCTTGGAAACACTTTATCTGCCCTCCCATTCTAAATGATAACTTTGCTGGATAGAGCAATCTTGGATGTAGGTCCTTGCCTTTCATGGCTCGGAATACTTTTTTCCAGCCCCTTCTTGCCTGTAAGGTCTCTTTTGAGAAATCAGCTGACAGTCTGATGGGAAGTCCTTTGTAGGTAACTGTCTCCTTATCTCTTGCTGCTTCTAGGATTCTCTCCTTCATTTTAATCTTGGCTAATATAATTATGATGTGCCTTAGTGTGTTCCTCCTTGGGTCCAACTTCTTTGGGACTCTCTGAGCTTCCTGGATTTCTTGGAAGTCTATTGCCTTTGCCAGATTGGGGAAGTTCTCTTTCATTATTTGTTCAAATAAGTTTTCCACTCATGGCTGTTCCTCTTCCCCTTCTGGTACCCCTATAATTCAGATGTTGGAACAATTTAAAGATGTCCTGGAGGTTCCTAAGCCTCTCCTCATTTTTTTGAATTCTTGTTTCTACATTCTTTTCTGTTTGGTCATTTTTTTTCTTCCTTCTTGTCCACTCCCTTGATTTTGAGTCCCAGTTTCATTTCCATCACCACTGGTTTCCTGTGCATTTCCCTTCATTTCAATTAGTGTAGCCTTCATATGTTCCTCTAATTCGTGACTAAAATCAATCAGTTCTGTGAGCATCTTGATCACCAGTGTTTCGAACTGTGCATCTGATAGGTTGGCTATCTCTTGGTTACTTAGAAGTATTGGCTCTGGAGCTTTGAGCTGTTCTTCTGCTTGAGCCACAATGTTTTGGTCTGTTCGCACCTGTTACATATGAGGGGCGGAGCCTTAGGTGTTCACCAGGGTGGGGCAACTCAGTTGCTGGGGTGTGAGGCTATATGTGGGGGCGGGGTCAGAGAGGGGCAATGGCTTTAGTTCTGCTCTCTCTCAGATTTCTGTTCCCTCTGCCGCTTCCCACAAGCAAATTGGGCCCTTCTGGTGCTGGTTCCTGGGTGTGTGGGCTTGTGTACCCTCCAGGAGTCTGTGGGTCTCTCCAGCGAACTCTCCCGGCACCTTGACCCCAAAAGTCTTTCCAGTTGGTGCTTTCAGGCTCTAATTCCTGTCGCTGGGGCCCTAGCCTGAGCAGTCTATTTCACTGTTTGCTCCTTTGCTTGGTTTATCTGCACGTGAATGTGTGACCTTGGTCAGCCAAAGTGTGACCTGCCACTTTGTGCCCCTACTGGGTCCACCCTTTGCCATCCCACACCTGGGATCTGCCAACCGCCGCTTGCGCTCCTGGGTTGGTCCACCTATCTTTCCTGCCTGACCCCACTCTGCCGCTGACTCTTATTGGTCTGCCTGAATGGTTCGTTGTTGTTGGACTTCCGTACAGTTCAGTTTTCTGTGTTTTGACTGCGTTTTTGTTACTAAAACTTTGTTGTCTTTAAATGTGGTTGTGCAAGGAGGAGCAGTTTTTCCACCTACACCTCCATCTTGGCTGGAAGTCCCATATTACCCCCTTTCGTAGATAAAAGTTTTCATACATTATATCCTATGTGGACTTTGCTTTTTTTACTTAATAAATCCTAAGCATCACTCCATGGTAGTTATAGAAATAGTCTGCATTCTTTTTTTATAGCCACATGGTCCTACATTAATAGATAGATATACCTTAGTGTATCATCAGTTCCTTATTGATAGTTATTTATTATTTATAATCTTTGGCTATCACAAATAGTGCTGCAGTAAATAGCTTAATTGTATGTGTGTTCTGAATATTTTTGTCAGTGGATTTTAAGTTTATGTTCTTAGAATTAGGGTGTTTATGTACTTCGTTGGGTATTGCCGAATACCTCTCCATTGTTCGTTTCCAGCAGCAGTGTATATGAGTGTGTTTCTACACGGCCCTTGTCTTATGTTTCAGGGTTATTTGCATTTCTTTTTCTGTGAACTGTCTGGTCATATATCTTGCTCATATTTTTAAAGATTTTATTTACTTATTTTTAGAGAGGGGAAGGGACAGGGAAAGAGAGGAAGAGAAACATCAGTGTGTGGTTGCTTCTTGCGAACCCCTGCACTTGGGGACCTGTCTTGCAACGCAGGCATGTGCCCTAACTGGGAATCGAACTGGAAACCCTTTGGTTTGCAGGCCTGTGCTCAGTCCACTGAGCCACACCAGTCAGGGCTTGCTCATTTTCTAAAGGATTGCTAGTTTTTGTTTTCTCTATTTTAGAAGCTGTCTATTAACCCTTTGTGATATAACTTGCAGGTATTTTTTCCACTTTATCATTTGTCTTTGTACTTTGGTTAAAGCTTGGTTTGTTTATTTATTTGTCATCTAAGAGTTGGCAGTTTTTATGGACTTCTATTATTTCTGAATTTTGAATTACAGTTAGGAAACTTCCTCATTCTCAGATTTTATCAGTATTTTGAAGAATTCACCCATATTTTCTTATAGTGTTCATATGGTTTCATTCTTTACATTTAGATCTCAGGTTCATTAAGAATTTATTCTGTTTTTTTGGTGTGAGACATCCAGTTTTTATCAGATTCAATATGATTATACAGTAGTTCTCATTACATTACCTATTAAAGAGTCCTCTTTCCCACATACTGATTTGAAATACTATGGGTCTTTTTATTTATTTATTTATTTTTTTAAAAGATTTTATTTTTAGAGTGAGGGGAAGAGAGACAGAGGAGAGAAAAACATCAGTTTGTGGTTGCCTCTTGCATGCCCCCTAACTGGGGACCTGGCCTGCAGCTCAGGCATGTGCCCTGACTGGGAATTGAACTGGCAACCTTTTGATTTGCAGGCTGGCACTCAATAGACTGAGCCACACCAGCCGTGTCACTGTGCGTCTTTTTAAAATTGTATTGATATCTATACTTTATCATTTTCTTTAACCTCATTGAGAAGTTTTAATGTAAGCAAGTTAAAAATGAGTGTAACTATTAAACCGTGACATATATTTTCAGGGCTACTTAATGTTTCTAATTTTATATCCAAGTACAATTGAATTATTGGCTAGGAAACTTGATAATTGTAAGTTGCACCGCTTTGAACATTAATGAAGTGTTATTTCCTTACAGTGCCACAAGGTTGCAGTAGTGAGAGAAGATAAATTGGAAGGTAAGTATTTTAGCAATTTAGCAAGTTTTTCCTCTTATGCCATTAATGTAGGTACAATACAAAATCTGCTTCTAACATCTGCATAAAATAGATTTAGCTGTTTAACCAAAGAGCTGTATATTCCTTTTATTAGTAGTTCCTGAAACATTAAAATATGATACTTCATCTGCCTAACTTCCCTTTTTTAAGGTCAATTGCTGCTAACATTTATAGAGCACTTTTATCACAGGATTTCAGAACTCGTGACAGACATGCAAAAACGATCATGAATACCATATGGAGCACCTCAGTAAAAAGACGGTAGTCTCTGAATACTGTGTTGTGTCCGTAATAGTTTTTATAGGAAGAAAATTAAAGAATGCCTTTCTAAAGTCAGAAAGACTTAATGTTTCTAAATTAAATTTGTCTACCTGTGTCAAGACTATGCTACTGTTCTGTTTTTTAAAAACCGAACCCAGAGGAACTGTGTCAGTCAGGGCCATGTGGTCCTGGACCCGTGTCTGCAGACAAAACCTGTACAGCTGCACTTTGTAAAGTCATCTTCTGGGGTCATTTTCTTACAGATTAACTTGGATGTATCCAGGGTGGTGGAGTCTGCTTTGTTTTCTTTCCGAATTCCCACATTGGTAGGCAAAGCAAGATGTATTCATTTATTCGATACATAATATTTACTCTGTGTGGAGCTCCGTGCTAGGTACTACAGAGACTCGGAGTCAGCTTGGCACAGTCCGTTCCTTCATGGAAACTAGAGGCTGTTCCTCTGATGTTCTTACGTGTCTTTCCTCTGCAGGCTTATCTGGTTAGTACTATTTTGTTACAGAGTCGCTTTCTCTAAAGTTGAATTATGTAAGTGAGTCTTCTCAGATAAAAATTACTTATTCCTCAGTTATATACCAGAGTGTAAGAATCTTCTCTGACTGAAAAAAAATTACAGTTACCATCAGTCATTCATTAATATTTACTGAGTGTCCACTGGATGAGTGATAACGTCACGGGTGCTGTGCTTAGAGCTGACTCACCACCACCTACCCCATCATAATGTCCTCGTTGGAGACAGAAGAGGTGATGTGATACTGTATATGTGGCTATGTGGCCTTTTAGAGCTTTTGGACCACCACAGATTGCAAATGGTTTTCACGCAGAAGGGTTTCTTGTTAAAAGTCCCCACATGGTATGAGGCTTGTGTATTAACAGACTGCTTTTCCTGTTGACTTGCAGCAGTGAAGTCCAAGCTGGCTGTGACTGCCAGTGTCCATGTGTACAGCGTCCAGAAAGCCATGCTGAAGGACAGTGGGCCTCTGTTCAACACTGACTACGACATCCTTAAAAGCAACTTGCAGAACTGCAGCAAGTGAGCTCCTTAATGTTCCTTGTGGACTTCTTTACGAATTGGTTTTGTAAGATGTTTACACAGTGGCTGCCTCTTAAGACTGAGTGCCAAGTCTAGTAAAACCCCATTTATCTTGCAGTAAGACACATGCCTGGTTTTATTAGTACATCATAAGGTGAAAAATAGCAGCTACAACCCATATTGAAAACCCCAGTGGACTCCCCATAAATCTATTTCTTATGTATTTATCCTGTCCCTGCCACCAGAAATGTTTGTTGTGCCCCCTCATTACTCTCTTACCCCAGTCTCTGCTTGTCTAAATTCTGCCCATTGTTTAAGAACCAGTTCAGATGCTGTCCTTCAAAAGCCTACTTCTAATTTTATATCCTTCTGTCTTCCATCTGAAGGCAGTTGGTCCTCCATAGCTGGGATCAAGTCTGGTTCATTTTCGGTGTCCTTCACAGCACAGGGGAGTGATGAACTAGAATGCATGTGGTTTTTCGTATTGATGGCCATGGACTTGAGTTGTGGTTTTGCTGCTTAACACCCCATGGTTTTGGACAGATTACTCACACTCTTTGAGATTTGGTTTCTTCATCTTTAAATTAGATAGAATAATGCCTACTTTTCGAGGTTGTATTGGGGGTTCAGGTCAGTTCCCCGGATACATGGTGAATGCCTACTACTTGAACAGGTACTAAGCAAGATAACTTGAATTCATTCAGCAAAGATCTGATGTGTACCTACGACCTGCCACACTCCATAGAGTGAATGTGGCCTGCTTAATACTCTGATTTTCTGGGATGAAGACAGTGATTTTGGAATCAGAGAAAATAGGTAATTAATTGGATAGAGATAATCATACAGAGGGAATGTCTAGAATAAAAGAAGGAAATAAAGTAGCCCTGGCTGGTTTGGCTCAGTAGATTGAGTGCTGGCCTGCAAATCAAAGGGTTGCTGCTTTGATTTTCAGTCAGGTCACATGCTTGGGTTGCGAGCCAGGTCCCCAGTAGGGGGGTGCGTGAGAGTAACTACACAATGATGTTTCTCTCCCTTCTCTTTCTCCCTCTACCCCTCTCTCTCTAAAAATAAATAAATAAAATATTTTTAAAAAAAGGACAGAAAGTAAAATTCTGGGCCATAAATACTATCTGAGTATCCTTGGGCAAATTAACCTGTCCGTGCTTCAGTTTCCTCATCAGTGAAATGAAGCTGACAACAGTAACATCCTCACAGGGCTGTAGAGCATTAAAGTGCTTAGAACCGTGCTTGGCACACAGTAAGTACATATCATTTACATATGTAAATGATAACCATTTTTAAAAGGATGGGCAGAAGAATAGGGGCCCAAGAGGGAGCAGCCAGAGGTGAGAGGAAAATCATAAGAGTATGTGGAGTTCTCAAAGCTAAGGAAAGTTTCAAGAAGGAGGGACTGAGAAGCTAAGGAAAATAGGAACTGAAGTGTTCTTTGGATTTAGTGATGGCCTTGGTAGAAGCATTTTCAATGGAGTGATCAGATTCTGGTTGGGAAACTCTTTCCAGGAAATATGACTATAAAATGGAGAAAAAAAGAGGGAGCCATCTAAGGAGGGATTGAGACTTAAGGCAAGATATATACATTTTTAAAGTCCAGTACCTTGAACTTGTTTTGTTAGGAAAGAGCGATAAAGAGGAAATGGTTGAAGATACTGGGGAGATGAGATAACTGATAGAGGGCACATAGGTACAGAATTTCCAAACATAGTGTCCATCATTTCCATGAAAATAGGGATTGTGTCTATTTTGTTAACACTCTGTACCCATAATGGTGCCTGGCCGGTGGTAAACATTCAGTAAATAATTGAATGAACTAAAGTTAGATATTATGTTGTTTTTTTCTTTAGCTTAAAATCTTGAGTGTAGTAAGCATATAACTAAAGAGTAATTATAGGTGTGGTTTCTTACAGAAGGATTACAGGAAACAATACTGATACATTTATGTAAATTGTCATTATATTTCAAAAGTAGTCTATTAAAATCTAGTCATGGTATGTCAAGCTCTAAACATTTTTTCTTCCGTTGTATCTAGCAAGTAAGAAAGTAAGAATAAAAGTGACACAAAGGTTCAAAATGAAAGTTACACAGGGACCTCTGAAATAAATATGGCAAGTAGAAATGTGGGGATAGGAAACACTTGCATGAAACTGACTTAAATACTTAAAGTAGCCATGGTAAAAATGTGAAGAATTTGTCTCCAGTAAAGAAGTTTGTATTTGGTCCTGAGAATCATGGGCCAACGGAGATCTGACTCATTGTTTCATGTGTTTTTAAGAAGTGCTGTGACAGGAAGAAAGTTGAAATTTTAGGATTGAGCAGATTCTTCTCTCTTCGGACACGTTCCCAGCCTAGCGTGGTCTCCTCCTCATTGCCAATTCCTGGTCCTGACCCTGAGGTGTGGAATGTAGACCAAATGGAGAAAGAGGTGTCTTGGGGCCAACTTCAGATGTTGACACTGAAATAAAACATTGCTCTCTCCCTTGTACGTGGAAGGACTACAAGGCCAGAGAGGTAGAGTGGTGGGTGAAAGGAAACAATTTCCGTCTGTGCTTAACTTCTGATGTGCAAAGTATTTGTGTTAATGTAGGGTTTTCTAATGTGGACCACAGTAAATCAGTGGAAGATTTGGAAGCTGTAAATTCTGGCTTTGGGGCTGTTCAGTCTGAAGTTACATTTGAAATTAAATGATTTATCAGGGATTTTTTTCCTTAGGCCAGTTATTCTAGCAGCCAGTTTTGAAGTTGTGCCTAGGTGATCTCTAAGGTAATTGTTTTCACTGCAGTTTCTTAATCTCCCTCATCTTCCACCTCAAGTGGAGGGGACACATAAAATATAAGAGTTCCTTCAAGGAGCTCTTACCTAACCCCAATAAGCAAAAGATTGGGAGGAAGAAAATGTTCTTTGTTAGGAAAAGTTTGGGAACTTTGCTTTAAATATAGCTGTTTGAGAAAGCTAGATCGGGCATCTGTTCACAGTGTGGAAGATTCTTCTATGGATTTGTGTGAAACAGGCATCTCTACAATGAATGTTCCCTTTAACATCCGTGCATACAGTTCCAAATTTCTTCACTTGGCTTTGGACATGCTTTCTGCTGCTGCTTGTTGGTATTAAAAATCAGTAACAAACGACCGTTGAGGACCACATCTGTAGGAGGAAACGACTGTAGGAGCCAGGGGCTGTGCTCTCAGCTTCTTCCAAGTGTTAAACCATGATCCACTCTGGCCAGAAAAGTTGCCAGGAAATTTTTTAATATTTAAAGCTCCTAATTTTGATTCAGTCAACATTTATTGCATATCTAGCCCTATAAGATGAAGGCCTTTAAAAACAAGAGGATAACCATTTGGTTTCCCACGTATGGTGAAATGACTAATGTTTATTATTGTTTGGTGTATTCCTCCTATTTAGAATTAAGGTGCTTTTTTTAACAACAGGAATACTCAGTTTGGTATGGTATGGTCCATATCCTGGTTTTGATTTTCAGTCCTAGTTCTGTTACTAACTGTTGATAGATATCTAACCTGGGACACATCCCTGACTTCTCTACTACTTGTTTATCTGAATGAGAATTTTGCACAAAATTCTGAAATGTGTTCTAGTTCTACAATTTTCTTCTTTCATAGTATTTGACTTAGCAAGTGTTATATTGAAGAAGTGAGAGTTTGAAAATAAGGTTTGATGTTGACATCAAGGTAACATTTCTCTGCCTAGGTTTAGTGCTATACAATGTGCCGCTGCAGTCCCTAGAGCTTCTGCTGAAACTTCACCTTCTGAGAAGTTGGAGCAGTCGAATCATCAGGTGTCAAGTGAGACACAAGCCAATAATGAGTTGACCACCAATGGTTATGGCCCACCTAGCTCCAAACAGATTTCCCACCAACCTAAAGGAATTATGGGAATGTTCGCCTCTAAAGCTGCTTCTAAAACCCAAGAGGCCAACAAAGAAACCAAAACAGAAGTTAAAGAGGTAACAAATGTAAGTCTTCTTTAAAGATGTGCCTTTCAGCTCAGAATGGGTAACTAGACAGGCATTGATAGTTCTAGTGGTAGTAGTTTAAGTATATAAAGTTCAGATATTTAGTTCTGATTTTTATACTTTAGTGTGAATGCTTTAATTCTGGATATTCTCATCTGAAATAGTCTTTTTCCTTTTGATAATGCTTCTCACCAAGCCATGAGCTATTAAGTGGTGGAACCAGCATTCAAATTTACTTCTGATGATTACAGATGTAACGTTTTGGATGTTTTTCCCCATCATATATCATACTGCCTCTGATCTATTTTAATTCTGTCAAACTAAGTAGCTTTTAAATATACTGAAGAAAAGTTTAGACATATTCACAGATAATAATTGTATAAGAACTGTGATAATCTAAACTTTGGAGATTAACATCGATACTGGTGGGTCTGCATTTATTCTTATACCTCATGCACACACATTTTGGCGTGATTATATAAAGACCGAGCTGGTGTGACAGCATGCTCTGCTGTTAAAGAGATGTTTTTTGAGATTGCTACTTGAAGAGCAGCCTAAACACTAAGAAAAAACTTGTGTGTTTTCTTTTCTATGTTTTTAGGCATCTTCAGCGGGTAATAAGGTACCAGCAAAAGGGAATGTGATGAACAATTTTTTTGGAAAAGCTGCTATGAGTAAGCATGTTTTTACCTTCTTTGGACTATTAATGCATGAATGTTATTATAATAACTTATTACATATCTGAAGTGAAAGTCATTTTAACCATCTTAGGACACTACCTTGTAGTACTCCTCAATTCTAACATAAATTATCAATATATTGGTGAAAGGACCCAATCAGAACAGTGGATTTATGGGTGAGCTGGGTTCAGCCTAGATCCCTTGGAGTGTAGTTTACTATTCCTATTTTTACCTCCTGCCTTGAAAAGAGAATTGAATATTTGTTTCATTAAAGCTCTTGAAAAAACAAAGCTTTTGCCTGCCTGCCCTTCCTTCTTTCTTCCTTTCTTCCTTTCTTTCTTTCTTTCTTTCTTTCTTTCTTTCTTTCTTTCTTTCTTTCTTTCTTTCTTTCTTTCTCTAATATAATTTTTCTAAAGATTTTATTTCTAGAGAAGGGAAAAGGGAAGGAGAAAGAGAGGGAGAGAAACATCAATGTGTGGTTGCCACTTGCACCACACAGGGACCTGGCTCACAACTCAGGCATGTGTCCTGACTGGGAATGGAACCGGCGACCCTCTGGTTTGCACACCAGCAATCAATCCACTGAGCCACACCAGCCAGGGCTGTCCTTTAGTTATTTTTACAGGTTATTCACAGTAATAAACTAGACATCATTGTGAATTAGAAGTGCCTGGATAACACTGGCCATCTAAAAAATACCTCATTTATTTAAAAAAAGAAATTTAAATAAGAATTCTTTTGTACGTAAGGAACCAATAGTCACATATTTTCATACTTCTCACATCAAGTAAACATTCCCTGAGGGTATGCGGCAGAATACCAGGAAGAATGTAGGAGCCGCAGGATGATTATGGCAAACTTTCTTGGAGCATCGGTTTTATAAAGACTTTGTGGGGAGGCATTTTATTATGTGCCTTTGCAGGCAAAATTAGTCAGAATTGTGCTTTTCTGTGATGGTCAAATTGGTGGTTGGAGGAGGGGTTAGAGCGATAGTTTTTAATTTGCCATAAAAGCTATCAGAGAACATTTTTGTGTTCTGAAAGTATATGGAAAATTTGATGCTTTCAGGTTATTGGGAAGCACGATTGTATTTTTGCAAGCACAGTGAACAAGGAGGGCTCCCTGCTTCTGTGAAAACAGACCATGCTGATATCTCTGGCCTGTGCGGCTGGTACTGCTCCATTGTACCCAGTCGGACTGCGTGGTTTCTGGGCAGCTTTTTTTAAACGCATTTGTAACCTTAAAATCCTATGACATTTTGCATTATTGTTATTTTTAAAAGATTTTATTTATTTTTAGAGAGCGGGGAAGGGAGGGAGAAAGAGTGGGAGAGAAACATCAATGTGTGGTTGCCCGCTAGTGCACCTCCTACTGGGGACCTGGCCCGCAACCCAGGCATGTGCCTTGATTGGGAATTGAACTGGCGACCCTTTGGTTTGCAGACCGGCACTCAGTCCACTGAGCCACACCAGCCAGGGCTGAATTATTATTTTTAAAGTATGTGAGCTATGAATATTTGTTAATTAGAGAAAAAAATCAGCTTCTTTAAGAAAAAGCAAATGGCAGATGATGGTGCTGCTTCAGGAAAGGCCTGGAAATGGGTGGTAGAATCAAACTTTACAGAAATGTACACTTAATTTATTCAAATGTTATTTAGCAAATATTTGTTGAGCACCTACTCTACGCACTATTATGCGTTGGTGCTAATGGAGAAAAGGTACGTAAACAGGGTTCCTGCCCTCATGTCCCTTCTATTCTACTGGCAGAGAAACAAACATAAAAACAATGAAATAGTTAATGATTGTAATGTTAGGCAGATAATGCCTGCCTAATAAAGATTATTATAATAAAGGCAGGTGTTATCTGCCTATGTTATCTGAAACAGACAGAGAAGGAAAACCTGGGTAAAATAAAAGAAATGGCTTACAAAGTTGATTGTTTAACTTATTTTTTTCAAGGCTAAATGTTTAGACTTGAATTATGAATAGTTTTATAATACTATGAATAGTATTTAACACAAGGCAAGATCGTTGCAATGAAAATGAAACTTGAGAGTTAGATGAACAGAGATGATACAGAGACTCGAACCATTTACAACCTAGTGCTGGACAATAACAGGTGTTGGCAAGGATGTGGAGAAGTTGACCCTCATACATTGCTGTGGGGAATGTAAAATGAGATGCTGACTTTAAAAAAGTGTGGCAATACTACAAAAAGTTAAATCAGAGGCACCCACTCCCAGGTATCTACTCAAGAATTAAAACATGTATGCACATGTGCATAGCAGCGTTATTCATAATAGCTAAAAGGTGGAAACAAGCCATAGGTCCGTCACCTAACGAGTGGAATAACCAATGTGGTATATCCAGGCAATGGAATGTTATTTAGTCAAAAAAGAATGAAGTACTGGTACACACCACAACATGGATGAGCCTCAAAACATCATGGAAAGAAGCCAGAAAACAAAAGGCCATATATTGTTTGATTCTATTTATAAAAAATGTCTAGAGATTTGTCTAGGCAAATCTATAGAGACAGAAAGTAGATTACTGCTTATCAAGGGCTGGGAGTGATGAAAATGTCCTAAAATTACATATTGGTAATGGTTACACAAACAGAAACCACCGAATTGAACACTTTACCAGGGTAAATTTTATGATGTGTGAATTATATCTCAATAACAAAAACTTTAGTGCTTTTTAGGTTAAAAAAAATTGCAGCATTTGGTGACAGTTCATCATGTTATCTTTCTTTGCTTGAGGGGTTTCATATTTTCTTGAGTATAAAAATGAGATTAGTTTTAATTAGATAATACAAACATTGTAACTTGATCATTCAGGTAACAAGAAAACATGATTCAATTTTCCTTAACAGTCGCTTGATGAAGTTGTTGCAACAAACTACTTCTTACCAGGTAATTGGCCAATTGTAGTTTAATATATGTATAAATTGGAGTTCCCAAAATACTGTGAAACCAAGACAGAGAACAAAACTCTGCTGAATCTTCTGAACACTGGTAGTTTAGCTTAGGTCAGTTTTCTGAAATCGATCCCTGCACCTTTCCCCTCGTTGGTGTAATAGCCTCTCTTTCCTTAACCCATGAGGCAGGCGGGCACTGTTTGGAGGTTTTTTCTTCCCAATGATGTAATTTTGAAACAGATGCTAACAAAATGATATAAGTTATGTAATAGAATGCAGAATTTGCATAAACTTTAAAGATACACCTGCAGCCCTGGCTGGTGTGGCTCACTGGATTGAGTGCTGGCCTGCGAACCAAAGGGTTGCTGGTTCCGTTCCCAGTCAGGGTACATGCCTGGGTTTTGGGCCAGGCCCCCAGTTGGGGACCCATGAGAGGCAACCACATGTTGATGTTTCTCTCACTCCCTTCCCCTCTGTTGAAAAATTAATTAATTAAAAAAATATAATTGCACCTCAGAGAACTTTCTTTGGTTCACTCACTGACCCCTGGATTCCTTGGAGATACATGTTTACTCTCTCGTACAGTTTGGTGGAAAAGTTTGAAAAGTACTGATACTTGAGAACAGTGGTAGTGAATCACGGTGCAAGAGTATATAGCACCAGGCGGCTGGTGGACTCAGCCATTCAGACTTACCATTTAAGTTTTCAAACAATAAAGCATAAACAGATGGCATGTTATACTTTTATCTATCATCTATTCTTTCAAATAATATTTTATTTATAAACTGTTATACCAAGCTCTGTGTAACAGCCAAAAACTAAGATAGCAATCATTTTTTTCTGTACTGTAGATGGTTTAAGCTACTTTATCACACATAAGCAAAACTACTTATTGAAGAGCTTCTCGCTGTTTACAGCTTTCTAAGAGTATTATGTGACTTTCTTTGGGGAAAAACACCAAAACTGTCACTGAGTATAGCATACAATTCATACATATTTCTTCTATCACTCCTCAGATAGCAAGACCCATTCTGTTTAAGTTTCTTTGTCCCTTGCACTACACGTGGTTCTGTGTTTTCAGTGTGGTGTAGGGAAGGGGGAAGGCCTCTGAGGAATTAAACTGATTTACGTTCATAGTCCTGGCTCTTCTTTTCCTATCGGCGTTACCTTGGGTAAGTCGCTTAACCTCACACACTTGTCTCTTTTAATCCTTATGGTAATCTGGGAAATGTTGCTTGGTTTTTACAGAGAAGACTAGCTTTTAGATAAAAGAATGAATGAATTAGGGTTTGAACCAAACTTTTCTGATTCCAAAGCAGTCTTTCACTTGTATCATTAAGGTAGTAGATATTAAAGTATCCAGACTTGAAAAGATAGAATATGATAGAAAATAAAGTCTTAGTACAAATTTATGTTGTCACTCTTTGTAAGCTGTGTACTCCTGGGAGACATCTTTTGGTTATTCTTACTCTTAGTTTCCTCATCTAACAAATAAGAATGGTATACCGCATGAAGTTGTATTTGTTTTTTCCCTAAGCCTTGCCTTTGCTGTCATTTACCGTGTGGTCTGTGACATTACGGGGGATTATCGGGAGGCAGGAATGGAAACAGTTATAGCTACAGTGGGGGTGAGCGGGGAGCAATGTCCTTTGACTAGACCATAAGCTCTGTTGGGACTGGGACTGTTTTTTTAAATCCCGTAAGTCCCTGTTCCTAACATTACCTGGCACTTAATAGACTGTCGTCAGAGGAATGATAGATGGATATTGCACGATGGGATTATACATCCTCTGTTATACTTTATTTGTAGATAAACTTAAAGTCAATTTGGATTCAGAGCCAGCACTGAAAGAAGAAAAAATTGTGGAACAGCCTCCACTGTCTGTCACTGAACCAAAGCTGGCAGCCCCCACAGGCCTGAAGAAGTCCAGCAAAAAAGCAGAGCCTGTTAAGATGCAGCAGGAGAAAAAGAGGTAGGAAAATTTTGTCACTTGTGGGGGAAGAGTGTTTGCTGGGGTTGAGAAGGTCTGTTTGGGCTCCCTGACAGCGGGCAGTTTTCAGTTGAGCACTAAGTCCTGCTTAATGCCTCCGGGATACAGCTACAGGACCAGAGTGAGGAGAGAAGCTCAGATCTAATGAAGCAGAACTGGAGTCTGCATTTTACATCATTGAAAGCCCCAAGTCCATCTTTTGGGCCCCATTGATCCAAATTGATTATCTTTTCTCCTTTGCTTCATTTTAAATTTGTGGACATGGCATAAGTGTGCCTGATTGTGTGTCTGTTTTTCCCTTCAAATTGCAAATGAAGGGTTACACTTTCCAGTCAAATTTAGGAGAAGAAGTTCTTTGTTTTCTTTTTATATCAATGAGTTTATTTTTCAAGTGGTAAAATGTAATTAGAAAAGAAAATAAAAAGCACACAAGTTGTTAAAAATGGATCCAGGAATTTGAGACACTACCTCATAGTTGGTAGGAGTCAGTTTGTTGAAAGAAATTCTAAAGGGCACTGTCAGCACTGATAGGCCCAGAAATGCCGGGCTTCTGTGGCGAGGCTGGGGATGCTCTGCCAGCAGGACATCGACGGGAGGCTGACGGTTCAGAGGGTCAGGGCTCTGTCCAGTGGGGCTCCCCTCCTGGGAACGTGAGATGCGGACGGATTAAAGTGTCCCGACTGTGGGTGCAGCGCTCATTGTTGGTGGTTATCGCCAAGAATGCTTCAGTATTTCAGCACATAGTGTAATGTTAACTGTGTATTTTTAGTATATGCCTTTTACCAGGTGGAGGAAGGTGTTGAATTTTGGCAGTTACTTTTTCTGCATTTATTGAAATGATTACACAGTGTTCCAGTTAAGGTAGTGAATTACATTGATTTGTTTTCAAATGTTAAGCCAACCTTGAATTCTAGGATAAACTCCCAGTTGGTTGCTATATATTATTCTTTTTATATAGTGCTATATTCTATTTGTTAATATAAGGATTTTTTACCTCTACATTTACAAGGACTGTGGATTAGTTATTTTCTTTTCTAAAAACTATATTTTATTGATTATACTGTTACAGTTGTCCCAATTTTCTCCCCTTGTCCCCCTCTGCCCAGTACCCCCATTCCCTCCACCAATCCCCCCACCCCTAGTTCATGTCCGTGGGTCATGCATATAAAGTTGTTTGGCTACCCCATTTCCTATATTGTTCTTAACATGCCCCTGACTATTTTGTACCTACCAATTTGTACTTCTTAATCCCTGTACCTTTCCCCTCCTTCTCCCCTTCCCCCTCCCATGTGTTAACCGTCCGAAAGATCTCCATATCTATGATTCTATTCCTGTTCTGCTTGTTTGCTAAATTTTTTTTTTAGATTCAGTTGTTTGATAGTTGTGAATTTGGTGCATTTAAATGTTCATATTTTTTATCTCCTTTTTCTGATATAATTCCCTTTAACATTTCATATAATAATGGCTTGGCGGCCATGGCTGGAATGGTTCAGTGGATTGAGTGCTGGCCTGCAATCCAAAGGGTTGCTGGTTCAATTCCCAGTTAGGGCACATGCCTGGGTTGTGGGCCAGGTCCCCCAGTAGGGGGCACGTGGGAGGCAACCACACATTGATGTTTCTCTCCCTTTCTTCCTCCCTTCCCTCTAAAAATAATAAAATCTTTTTAAAAAATGGCTTTGTGATGATGAACTCCTTTAGTTTTACCTTGTCTTGGAAGCACTTTATCTTCTCTTCCATTCTAAATGAAAGCTTTAGATAGAGTAACCTAGCTGGATAGAGTAACCTAGGTTATAGGTCCTTCCTTTTCATCGCTTTGAATACTTCTTGCCAGTCCTTCTTACCTGCCAAGTTTCTTTTCAGGAATCAGCTGACATTCTTATGGGAACTCCTCTGTAGGTAACTCTGCTATTCTCTTGCTACTTTTAAGATTTTTTTCTTTAACTTTTGGTATTTTAATTATGATGTGTCTTGGTGTGTTCCTCTTTGGGTCCAACTTGTTTGGGACTTTCTGTGCTTCCTGGACTTGTATATTTATTTCCTTCACCAAATTAGGGAAGTTTCTTTCATTATTTTTTTCAAATAAGTTTTCAATTTCTTGCTCTTCTTCTTCTTCTGGTACCCCTATGATTCACATGTCGGTATGTTTTAAGTTGTCCCAGAGGCTCCTTAGCCTATCCTTGTTTTTTTGTTTTGTTTTTGTTTTAATTTCTTTTTTCTTCCTGCTGTTCTGATTGAATGCCTTTTCCTTTGTTATGTTCCAAATCATTGATTTGATTCTCAGCTTCAACCACTCCACTGTTGGTTCCCTGTAGATTTTTCTTTATTTTCTGTAATTAACCATAATTCCTGCCTGGGTCTTTTTTATGCTGTTTAAGTACCCACTGAGTTTCTTGAGCATTCTGATACTCATTGTTTTGAACTCTGCATCTGATAGGTTGCTTATCACCATTTCGTTTAGTTCTTTTTTTGTTCTTTCAATTGGGCCATATTCCTTTGTCTCCTCAATTTGGCAGCCTCCCTGCATTTGTTTCTGTGTATTAGGTAGAGCTGTTTTGACTCCTTGTTTTAGTAGCATGGCCTATTGTAGAAAAGTACACCTATAAGTTGTATTAGGTGGAGCCTTAGGTAATTGCCAGGGTGAGGCAACCTGTGTCACTGTTATGTAGCTCTGTGTTGGGGATTGCTGGAGAGGGGACTGTGCTACTGCCTGGCATCGGGAGTTTTGCCCAGGAGGATGCTGTCTCTCCCAGCATTTGTCCCATTGCCAGTCACTTCAGTTTCTCCCTGTGGCACTGGTGCCCTTTCAGCTGTTGCCCTGGTGCTGAATCCCAGAGGGGGTGCGTCTGCATAAATCCTGAGTCTGTAGCAGGTCCTTCAAGAGGAGTCTCCTCAGATCCCACCGTTTCTTCTGCTGCCTCAACCCCCACTGGTTTTTATAGCCAGAAGTTATGGGGACTTAACTTCCTGGTGCTGGATCCCTGGGCTGGGTAGTCTAGTGTGGGGCTGGGATCCCTTGCACCCCGGGTAGACCCCGATTTGTATCCACTGAACGTGGTGTGGGACGGCCTGTTCTGTGTCTCCATGCTTCCCAGGCCACTCCACCTCTCTGCGTGTCTCCGCACCACCACCCCTCCTACCTCGCTGGATGAATGTGGTGTCTTTAAATCCTTAGTTGTCATACTTCCATTCAGCTTGATTTTCTGATGAATCTGGATGATATTTGTTCTGTAGTCTAGTTGCAGTGTTTACTGTAGTTGTTCAGGGAGGCGAAGTGTCTCCATTTACCTGCACCTCCATCTTGACCAAAAGTCAGTTATTTTCTTTTCCAGTAACACTAATCAGATTTCGGTATTAGAGTTATACTAACTCTTTAAAATTAGTTGGGAGAAACTTGCTCTTTCTGTGTGTTATGTATTAAAAGTTTGATAAAATTCACAAGTGAATCTGAGCTTGGAGTTTTCTTTGTGGAAAGGTTTTTGGGGTTTTTTGTGTGTTTTTTTAAAATTAATTTTATTTAACTGGAGCTCTTCAGATTTTCTCATTCGTTTTGGGTGAGTTTGATTGTGTTTTTAAAGGAATTTGTTTCACCTGTGTTGTTGAGTTTATTGGCTTAAAGTTGTTCATACTATGGTCTTATTCTTTGAGTATCTGTAGTTACTACTACAGATTTCATTTTTTCATTCCTAATATTAGTAATGCATATTTTTGTTTTTTAATCAGTCTTGCCAAAGGCTTGATAATTTTATTAATCTTTTCTCCAGAAATAATGGCTTTTAGCTTTGTTAATTTTCTTTATTGATTTCTGCTACTTATTATTTTCTTCTACCTATTTTGGGTTTATGTTTTTGTAGTTTAAAGTAAAAAAATAAGAACTAGTAGTTAAAGTTACATAAGAAATAAAGTACTTGAAGATAAAAATTATGTCTCTAACACACAGTAGGCCCTTGATAAATTATTTGGTTGGCCAAAAAGTTCATTTAAAAAAAAAATTCAGATGGTTCTAGTAGCTCTTAGTCATTTTTAACTTCATTTGAAACAATTTCGTTAGGTTGTATTGTGGCAGTCACATCAGCATGCATTTATCAAAACTGGTGAATTTTTGTATAGCCATTTTAATGTCGAAGATGGAGAAAATATGCAACATTTTCAGTTTATTATGCTTTATTATTCTAAGAAAGGTAAAAATGTAACAACAACAAAAAAAGATTTGTGCAGTGTATGGAGAAGGTGGTGTGACGACCGAACGTGGTCACTAGAATCACCTCGAGGTCTTGTATCTGCGCCTTTGCTCATATTGCTTTTTCTCTTTAAAATACGTATCCCTTTCCCATCTGGTAAACTTCTACTTAGCTTTTAAAGGTTTCAGGTAAAACTCATGTTCCACAACATTTGCCCAGTACAGTTCGTCACATCGTCACAGAGTTAGTGGTGTCTGTCCGTTTTTCTAGTCAACGCTCCTGGAGAACAGTGTTTTCTTGATGTTTACAGCCCTAGTGTTTAGCGAAGAGCCTCATGTATGTAGGAAGTAGCTGCTTACTTAATTCTTGTTGAATCATTGAAAGGCCGTAGGGGAAGTAGGAATTTAGAAAGATTCTCGGTAACCTGGTGGTGCTTTCCAGTGATCTACAGAGAGCTAAAGAAAATTTTTATTCTGGTCACCCCATGAAATAACCTACTTATTTGTGGTTAGTTAACCTTAAAAAGAATCCTTATTAGTAGTCTACTTTGACTTTTATATCCTCTGGAATTAAGACCATGAGTTATGAATACTTATAATTTTATTTTGTGTAACACGCTTAACTTTTTCCCGGATGGCTGCAGGGGGAAGCGAGTGGAGCTCTCTGATGACGAGACAAAAGAAACTGTCAGCATGAGGAGAAAGAGGAGGAGAGTCAAACTCCCCGAGTCTGACAGCAGTGAAGATGAAGGTGGGTGTCGCTGTCACTTTTTGGCTAGTGGGATTGTCTGTCAGTTCAGGCTGCCATAACAAAAATACCATCGATTGGGTGGTTTGAACAACAGAAATTCATTCCTCACAGTTTTAAAGGCTGAGAATCCAAAATCAAAGAACTGGCTGATTCGATTCTTGGGCAGAGCTCCCTTCCTGGTTTGCAGAAGGACGCCTTGTTTTGCTCTGTCCTCATGTGGCAGGAAGAGAAATCTCCTTTCTCGTGTCTCTGATAAAGGCACTAATCTCATCCATGAGGGTTCTACTCTCATAACTCAATTACTTCCCCAAATTCCCTCTTCAGAGTACCAGCACGTTAGGGATCGGGGCTTCAACATATGAATTTGGGGGAAACATTCAGTTCACTGCAGGAGTCATTTCCTGCTCTGATGCTCAAAGAGCTAATTAGTGATTTATTATGGGTCACTACGACTCTGGTAGTCCTAGCACTGAGACACGTACGGCACCTGTTTCTGTTTAAAATCTGCTTTAGCCTTTTGACCAGAACTGTGATTTTTTGGTAATTTGCCAAAGTAACACACAAAGAGAAAGAACATAAGGATTATTAACATATTGTCAAAGACCTTAATTATTTAACTTTTTTAAAATTTTGTTTTTCAATTAGTTTACATTCAGTATCAGTTTGTATTGGTTTCAGGTGTATAGCCTCGTGGTCAGGCAGCAATGTACTTTACAAAGTGTTCCCCTGATATTTCAAGTACCCACCTGGCACCATGCATAGTTATTACAATATTGACCCTATTCCCTGTGCTGTACTTTACATCCTCGGGACTGTTCTGTGACTGCCAGTTCGTAGTTATTAATCCCTTCACCGTTTTCACCCAGCCCCACTCCCACCAGCCCTCCCAACTGTTTTCAGTTTTGTTCATTTATTTTGCTCTTTAGATTCCACATATAAGTGAAATCATATGGCATTTGTCTTTCTCTGTCTGACTTATTTCACTTAGCATAATGCCCTTCAGGTCCACCCATGCTGTTGCAAATGTTAAGATTTCGTTTTTTATGGCCGAGTAATATTCCGTAGTATAGATGTATGACAACTTTTTTTAGCCACTCATCTATTGATGAGCACTTGGGTTGCTTGTAGGGGTGCACATATTCTTTCAAATTAGTAATATTTTGGGTTTCTTTGAATATATACCCAGAATGGAATTGCTGGGTCATGAGGCAGACCCATCTTTAGTTTTTTGAAGAACCTCCGTGCTGTTTCCCCAGTGGCTGTACCCGTCTGCATTCCCACCAGCAGGGCAAGTTTGTTGATTGATGAGGCCATTCTGACAGGTGTTGAGGTGCTGTCTCGTTGTGGTTTTAATTTGCATTTCTCAGATGATCAATGATGTTGAGCATCTTTTTCTATGTTGGCCATCGGTGTGTCTTTTTTGGAGAAGTGTCTGTTCAGGTCCTCTACCCATTTTGTAAACGAAAATTCCCAAGTGTGTTGACAAAAGAACCATCAAGGAACATTCTGACCAGTTAAGAGTTGAGAAATGGAGGCAACTCTACGCAGACTCATGGGAAAATAACTTGGGAATATTTGTTAATTGGAACAGTCTTACCTATATCGAACCAGGAAAAGAACTTAGGGAAGATTCTGGAAAAGTCTTTGAAGCCATGAGCCTAATGTACATTAGAAAGGCAAGCTAGCCACTCTGGTATTGTCAGTGAAGCAAGCAGCTCTGTGTCGAGGAGTTACTGTGGTTGACCGAACGCTCATGACATACTTCTGAAGTACTCTCTGAAATTCCGACCCGTAGCACACAAAAATCGTACCCATGGGTGATTAGGAATATGAGTGGGCTTATTTAGTTTGGAAAGGAGTGAGAAGAAATGGGATAGAGACGGACAGCCTATAGTAATAGATGATGTAGAGCAGAGACTCTCAGATTTTTTCCTCTGGCAAAGATAATTTTTGGCATCTGACTAAATTTATAAACCTTGGCCATTTTACACCTAAATTTCTTTGTCTCGAAGCCAGTGGGATTTTATTTTAAACCTTTCTACAGTCTCTAACACATTGTTTTATTTCTGTTACACTGAATATGTGCTGTTAGTTTAGGATATTGTCGTAAGCCTAAAGTTAGCAGATCAGCATCAGGAGTGGAGGAGATGGCAGGGACTTTGGGGTCAGACAGAGTGAGTTTAAATCTTACCTCCACCACTTGCTGTGTGACACGTTAGATTAGTTCTTCAGTTCCTCGTTTTCTCATCCCTAAAATGGGGAGGTCACTAGAAACTGGAGGCTTTTTATGAACATCGAGTAAGATGACGTGTCCTAAGTGCCGAGACAGCACTTGACAGAGACCAGGTTTCCTCATTATTCCCCCACTTTTCCTGGTGAGCTGTTCAGTAAGTAGCAGTAGTGAGTACATTTGCAGTGCCTCCTCTCAGGAAATTCCCGTCAACTTCGGATCCTTAACTCTCTGCTGAGGAGACTGTTCCTTTGTCCCCTCCCTGAGAGTCGTAAGCGCCTTTAGCAATCCTGTGCACTCTCTCTGTAAAGCAAGACAAGGCTGGACCCCAAAAGAAGTAACGTTAAGAAGGATCTGCATTGCTAGGAAGAAATTGTTTAACCAGTATGTTTAAGTCTTTGTTAACATTTTCAGGCCTTGCAGACTGCTTCTACAGAATGGAAGCAGATGACTCCCTATGAAGGTTAAGACAGGTAGCAGAAAAATTTCCTGGATGCTAGGAATGATTTCCAGGAATTCTAATTACCAGTCTCTGCCAGAAAGTTCTGATAAACAGTGGTTACCTTGCTGGGTCCCTGCAATTAGCTTTACCACAGCGGTGTTAGTCTGCTCCCTGAGGGAAGTGATATTTCACTACCCGAGTGATTCACATCTGTACAATTGCAAATTTGTTACAAATGTACAGAGTGGGGCAAAAGTAGGTTTATAGTTGTGAGTACAAGAAACACAGAATTTATTCTTGTATTTATTTATTTATTCTATTATTTCCCATATAAACAACTGGAAAGCTGCTTTCACCCTGCCCTGTGTTTAAATTACACCAGTGCACCAAGTGTTCCGTGTGTTTATGTCACTGAAGGTGTTTTTGAGGGATGATGATGTATGGGCCCGATAAGAAAGACTCAGACAGACGGGGATTCTAGCATGTGGATGGGGGCAAGTTTCGTGTTTTTTTTAAGTCTCTTTGAATGAACCTCAGTTGTTTAAAACAAATAATAGTGATAGTAATAATGACTTTGTGGGATTGTTATGAGCATGAATGATTAATGTTTGTAAAGCCCAGAAAACTAGTTGTTTCCCCTATTCTTTCTTAAAGCATTTAATTTTTTAAAAAATTTTAAACAAAGTAGTACCTATGTACAATTTCAAAATCAGATAAAATGAGTTTTATAATAGATAGTAACCTCTCCTATCTGACTTTTCTGATTGATGCTTCTTGTCAAATTTCTCCATCTGCCTTCCATCATCTAGCAATTGGTTGAAATTTCTTAGTCATTAAGAGAAATTTCTTAGTCATTCCTTTGCTCCTCTTCTGCTCTTGTCCTTGGTGTGGGGGGAAGGGATTTGCAACATTTAACTACTTTAACATTATAATGTTTTTCTCTGGGGGGGTGGGCAGGGAGGTATATGCTGAATCTTTCTTGACCAAGAAGCCCCTCATCCTGAATTTAGCTCAGAAAATGATTTTTCCTTTTATTAAAAAAATTTATTACTGTGCGCTCAATGCCAAGGAAACCACGGCACCTCTGCCTCTGTGGAGCTCAGAGTCTGGAGGGGGCTCTGGATGAAAGACAGTCCCGTACATTGTGGGGGAAGGCGTCTTAGAGGGTGCCCCTGAAATTGTGTTTCCCTTGCATAAATGGTTACAGAACTGGAAGTAGAGGAAGTACTCCTGGGTTTATTACTGAGTACTCAAAATTCCTTTTCTTTGGCTTCCTCACTGCCATATTCCACTGTAACATGATTATGACACAGCTTTCTTAATAGCTGTACTCTTAGAACAAAAATGGGTGCTTGGGTCTGTGGTTTAACTTTGCTTGTGCGAGCACCCATCAGGTTCTGGCCTCCCAGAGCTGGGTTAATAGATGGACCACTTTCTGGTCACGTGTCTGTCTGTCTCTTGTGTCCCAGGGCTCACAAGGTTTGGGGCCTATTTCATACTTGGAATGTATAATTTATTGTTTCGTCCTGGCTCTTGTGCTGCTTCACCTCTTTAGGTCATTTGGCCTTGAACCCTCCACTGTCATAATTTTTAACACTGACCTAATCAATTGGGAGGGTTTCAGATCCAAGACTTGTGCTAAGAATGTGAATACAGCCAGGAGATTCAGGGAGCAGGTGTGGCTCAACAGCCACCCAGCCCCTTGACCAGCAGTTTCTTTGCTAATTAAGCAATAGGGCAGCTGAGGATTTTCACTCCCCCTCATGGGCCTGAAGACCACTGTTAACGGAACTACGCAGAAACAATGGGATCACTCTGGTGATGCTCTCTTCTCGGTGATACTACGCCCACAGCAATGTTTCTTTCCTAAAAGTGTTCTCTGTGTAAAACAAGCCTCGACGGTGGGGCCATCACTAGAAATAGTTCCCATGCAACATATTAAGCAGGTCTTAGTTGTTGGAGGTGTAATTAGGATCATTTCGAAAATGATCTCCCCAAAGTGTATGCTCTTAACATCCACTGGAAAGTTTCAGTCCGACAGGCATCTCGGGTGATTGCACATGACCCTCAGACCACAGTCACAAAGACCCTGGCACAGAGCATTTGGTATAGTCTTCGATTATCTCCACTTACTTGATCTTCAGAGAAAATGTCTGGTCCTAAATGGTAAGGGAGCATGGGACAGTCGGAGTAGTGAGGCCGAGGAAGCAGACCTGGGTTTAAACCCTTCTGCCTCAGCTGCATGCTCTGACCTTGTCAAGTTATCCTCTCTGGACCTCTGGTTACTCAGTTCTAATCTGTGAATAATATGTGTCTCTCAGGGTTGTTTGAGAATAAAGAGAAACAGTGTAAGCGATGAACATGACCCATGGTGGGTGATCGGTGGGTACTTATAAAACAATTTCATGTCCTAACTTATCTGTAAAATACAAAGTTTAGCTAAGATAATCTCTAAGGCACATTCTAGCTCTAATAATTTTCAATTCTCTAATTTTCTTTGTATAAAGTTATAAGCTGTATATTTTATATATGTGTAGAGATATATATAACTGTAGGGTCCTTGGTTGTCATGAATTACTGCCTACGAAATATCCTTTGCTGGACATGGAAACTTAGCCAGTGGAGAAGGCGACGTACCAGATGGTGCGGTCGTGGCTCTCTTTTCTAAGCCTGTTTCATAATTTCAGTCATACCAGATTCTCCTGGGGCTTATGAAGCTGTGTCGCCATCCCCACCTCCTCCTGCGTCTCCCCCTCTTGACCCAGCACCGAAGACTGAACCAGAGCCTCCTTCTGTCAAGGTACAGCTTTACGGGAATGGTTGCCTTTCCACGTGTTCCTCTTCACCCAAGGACCTAAAACTACTGTTAAATCTGTTCTCTGCTGTGTGCTTCACAAATGCCAGTAGATGGCTCTTGTCTCATTCTGCTGTCTTATAGGTCATAAGAATGGACACTCCCTAGCTTCTCACGTGAAGTGAGATTTCAGCCGTAGGCCAGTTTCAGGAAGGTGGCCAGGGCGGATCCTGGGAGCCAATTCTGCTACCCAGTTCCCCTTGGAATTGTGCAAAATGATGTCTTGCCTGCATCAGAACAGTGTGTGAAAGATATAAAACAAACAACTTATACATGTTACACTCCTGCAATAGAGCTGGAGGAGAACAGCTGGCAACAAATTGAGAAGTTAGTTTTAAGAGATCTTTAGCTGCATCTTGTCTACATCTGTTAGGGCAGAAAATAAAGAGTTGAGAAGATGGGTGCTGACAAGTTTCTTTTTCCTTTATAAGTATCATTTTCCTGAATTCATTGTATTAAGACTGTCATTTACACTTTGTGTTGATTTCTTCATCAGCCAAAGAGCAGATGGGATTAAAGACCAGTGGCAATAAAAGGAAAGTAATCGTCAGTGTGAGACTAGATTAGATGGACGTCATGTTGCAGTGTCAAGGCTGAAAGCAAATATCTACAGCAAGGGCAGATGCCCTGGAAACCTCTAGTCTGGTTCAGGCCCCTTCCCTGTGAGCTCCCATAATACCTGCCTCGGCCCTCTAGGAAAGCCTCCATCGCGGTGGTCTGCTTTCCTTGCCTCTTCTCCACCGAGGTTCTTGTTCTGTTGGTCTTTTTAACCCATGGTGCCTGCACTGCTTAAGTGAAGTATGTTGCCGAATGAACACAGGTTGTTTGCTCAACCTGTTACTTTTCTCACAATGACATGCAAGCCTGCACACACGCTGAGCACACCTCACCTGTGTGGTAGGCTGGTCCTCCTAAAGGAGCGTGTAAATTCCTCACTCAGCTGTTTTTATCATCACAGCGTATTGGAGGTTGATTGTTATAAATTAAAAAGTTTATTTTTCTCTGGTTTTATTGGTTGCCTTAATATTGTAACCTCTGATCTTTTAGCTCGTAGGTGGAGAAAACAAAAGAAAACGAAAGCGTGTGCTGAAATCTAAAATGTTTCTGGATGGTGACGGCTGCATGGGTAAGAAAAACTGGGGGCTCCCAGTCCAGAGGGAGTTATTCCCATAGAGAGGCACCTTTATAGAGGACGTGCCTCCCACTTTTGTGTGCAGGTGACTTGCCCCCAGGTGATGCCTTGCTGCTTCTGTGGCCCACACTTGTGTTCCTCTACAGCGTAGAGGCCACTCCAGCTGAAGTTAGAACACCCGGCTCTTGTTTGGACCACACGCTATAAAAACAAGCTTTAAGATTGCAGATAAAAGTTATGTCGCCTCATGTGGGGAGTTTCTAGGTCTGCGGAATAAAGGTGGTGTTTCCGTTTTGTGGCGTTATGGTGAAGGTTCAGGTGAGGTGATGATATGTCTAAACACTCTCTCAAAATGAAAATCATAATACCAACTAAAAATGTTATCGTGGATGTTGACAAATATTTGTCTTTCTTAGAGGGGTCATTTTATACATAGGAACAGTGGAAAAGAAGCCCCTACTGATGATTAGGTGGAAGAGAGTGTCATGAGTCTTTGGTATTTTGTCCCGTTTGTCCCTCGTGGAGTTTGACTCTTTCACATCACTTCCTTGGTGTGCCCTGTTAGTAGGCTGTGTTAGGTACAAGCATGTGCTTTTAATGGGGGCTTATTGGGGAACAGAATTTAGGCTTTGAAACAACCTAAGTGTCTTTTGACAGATGAGTGAGTGAATAAAGAAGTTGTGTGTGTGTGTGTGTGATGGAATATTATTTAGCCATTAAAAAGACAAACGAAGAAATCCTGCTGCACGTGACAATAAGGATGGACCTTGAGGGAATTGTGCTAAATGAAATAAGTCAGAGAAGGTGACAAGGCCTGCATGATCTCATGTATACCTGTAGAACCTTAAAAAAAAAAAAAGCAACTCATGCACAAAGGGATGAGATTTGTGGTTACCAGAGACAGGGGATGGGATAACAGTGGCCCAAAGGTGCAAACTTGTAGTGACAAGATACGTAAGTGCTCGGGATGCATGTACAGTGTGGTGGCTGTGGTTAACACCGATGTGTGATGCGCATGAAAGTAAAGAATATATATGAAGAGTTCTCTTCACAAGGAAAAAAAAATTTTCTTTTTATTGGGTTGGCAAAAAAAGTTTTAGTTTTTTCTATATGATGGCTCTAATAGTGGTTGGTTCTGTTTAATTTCATTCAACACAAATTAGGTCGTATGGTGATACCTGTGCATTAAAAACACTTTACAAAGTGAATTTTTGAGCATCCATTTTAATATTAAGGATAGAAGAATATACGCAACATTTTTGGCATGTTATGCTTTATTTCAAAAATGTAAAAACACAACTGAAATGCAAAAGTAGATTTATGCAGTGTATGGAGAAGGTGCTCTGATCAAATGTGTCAAAAGTGGTTTGCGAAGTTTCTTGGTTCTATTGACATTTTGGCCAAATAACTCTTTGCTGAGGGGCTGTCTTATGCATTGGAAGATGTTTGGCAGCACCCCTGGCCTCTGCCCACTAGAAGCCAATGGTGGGAGATAGTTGACATACTCAGAATATCCAAATCAATAACATTATTGTTGAAAATGAAAATGCATCTTTAATTTTATGGGGAAAAATCATACAGCCATTCTGGCCAACCCCACATTTATATGAGATGATGGACGCTACCTCCTGCTAAAACTTAACAGCAGTTATCATTTCATTATATGTGGAGGTCAAACCACTGTGCCCTACACCTGAAAACTTCGACAGTGGTGTCCTTCAATTACATCTAATAAAACCAGAAAAATATATTTAGCACTTTTAAAAAACGAATTCAGGCTTTGAGCCATTGCCTGATTCTTGAGCCATGTTTTGGCTTTTGCCTTTTCCACTGTGGAAGCAGACTTGCGTGGGGTCTTCCGGGGTTGGGCTGGAGGCCTGGCGGGAAGCCCCAACACTGGTCAGCGTTTCTGTGTTGACAGAGTTGTGGGTTTAGCCCTCAACCCGCTCTTTAGTTGGATTAGCCCATCACTGTCATTTCTTCTTTCCTGTCACACCTGCCACAGCACAGCTGACCTAGAGAAGTATTTTTTCCCCTTTCTTGACTTTCCTTTTCTTGTTCAAACCTTTGTCTTAAAAATACTAACTGAAGAATCAGTTTTTCCTAGGCAATGTGGTTGTTAAAACCAGTGAAGACACCTTATCAGCTGCGAGCCTTGTCCCATTTTCCCTCCCACTCTTCCAGAAAGGCCTCTGACACTTTAACTGCAGCATGTGATTTGGGGGGTAAACTCCCTTACATGTGGAAACTCTGTCTTTGGTGCCAGATTTAATGTGAGCCTATGAGTTCTGGACTTTGAGTAGTAGTCTGTTTTGCTTTGTTTTGAGTCTTCTAATAGTGCATTTCCAAGCATCTTAGTTTGACTGTTGGTAGTAAGTAACATGTATTTTCTGTTGAGATTCTTATTTTTTTCTTTTAAATATAAGAGGACAGAAGCATCAGTGCTAGGTGGTTTTTTTTCCCTTCAACCCTCCCCCCCCAAAAAAAAAAAAAACCTGTCACATACATGTTTGTGAGAATTCTTTGGGAATTTGTGGCTAATTACCTATTTTGTTCAAAACACAGTCCTCAAGCTGTGGCCAGGTGTGGTGTGGGGGCATTTTCGCAGTCCTGTCTCCAGACAGGACTATTAAGAGCCTTGGATGCAACAATGAAAACTGTGCTCACATAGCAGTTTTTTTTGTTTTTTTTTTTAAGGTTTTTAGTCCAAGCTCACCCTAATGAATCTTGGCTCCTGTTACCAACAAAGGAGTTCTGCTTTCCTCTCTCTGCTCACACTGTTCCAGATGCATGGGCACAGCAGTCTTGCCCTGTCCTGTGCTGGGTCAGGGCTGGTCTGTGGGTTTAAAAAGCGGATCCTTTCCTTTCTGTGAGTTTGCTGCAGAGACTGGGGACCGGGACCCTGAGTTGGTGGTGGGCTTCTAGACAGGGTGGGTTTCTCAAGCAAAACAGTTGGTGGGAAAGAATCCTGATGTTACCCAGGCAAAATGAACCTTTTTAAATGGCATCCCAGAAAGGTGACATGTTTTCAGCTAAAATAATGATTCTGTATTTTTACATTGAAATGGCCTTTGTCCTGTAGTTTGAAGTAGCTACAGCTTTGCATATAGAAAATGCTCCTTTTGGTACACAAAGTGCGCTGCTTAAGAAATTTTGTTAGTGCTGCTGTGACTGGTTTAACTTCCCCCTCCTCCAATGCACTGCACAAAATTGGCGATGAAACAACCAGTGGTTTTAGTAGTAAGTAATGAAATAATGAGTTAATTGATGCCAGGCAGCCACTTGAACACAGAATATATCTCATGAAGGAAGGAGCAAGTCTCTTCCACCAATTAGTAAGTTGTTGCTTTTCTGTGGCTATAGATGGCTCTTCAGACCTCCCTCAGACTTTGAGATGCTGAGTAACTAACAGCTCATAAGTGTGTCCAGTAATCCAGTTGCAGAATTCTTTTGAAGTTGCAGACAAGATGGTAGGGGTGGTGTTATGGATCATAATTGCTGAGCTATTAATAGGTATTTCAAGGAAATTCCCTAAATATCTCAGCATTTCTCACACTTAGCTGAGGATATATGCATTACTTGAAGATCTTGCTAAAATTCAAATTCTGATTCAGTGGGCTGTGGGTATGCCCTGCGATTCTGCATCTCTAATAAGCTCATGGGAGAGTAATGCCCTCTGGCCTGTGGAGCAAAGGTGAATAGGAAGACCTTCGAGAACACTTAATATTTGGATCCAAAAAGCGCCCCTATTTTATTACAGAAATCTTATTACAAAATCATAAGCTTGTAATTCTGTAACATAATTATCACTCAAGCACACAGTATGACATTTTAGGTGAAGTGTTCAAATTAAAACCATAAATTATTACACCCATATTATTACTCTACCAACCACACTCAAGCAGGAGTTACTTCTGCCAGACCCTGTATATTTAACACTTATCAGTGTCTTTAGCCTGTAAGTTGGCAGGAGTCAGCAAATTCTAGGCTCTTGAGAGTAATGACAAATCCTGGGAACTCTTAGGGAGGAGGGGCTGTTAATTATGCAACCTTAATGGCATTGGAGGGAATGGGGTGCAGGCACGCTCCAGTAGCGGTAGCCAGTTGCCCTCCAGCATGACCATTGCTAGGGAAAAAACAGCATTGGAGGGGCTGTCCAAAAATTACTGGGAGGGTTGGGGGGAGGAAAAGTGATTCTCAGAGTGAAATCCTCAGACATGTTAGGAAAGCAAATACTCAGGTCCACCCCAGACCTACCGAATTTGAAACTCTGGAGGTGGAACCCAGCAGTGTGTTTTAACAAGCCCTCCAGGTGATTCTGATGCACATTCAAGTTTGAGAGTGTTTGAATGGCGGACAGGGTATGAGGGCATAGATATATTTGATTCTGGTGCTTATGCCTCTAGGCCAATTTGACTAACATATTTTATTAGAAATAATAACTAAGAGCATAAAACAATCATTTTGTTTACATGGAAAAATATCTTTCACTTTAATTATCTGAGCATTTATTATGCATATTAGATTACTCTATTGAGCTAAGAAAAGATGTTTTTCTAATTTCTCCATCGTTCCTACAACCAGAAAGGCTGAGAAAGAATTTAGATGGCGCTGGTTATACAACTGCTTCAGCTCTCTAAAGGCAGGAAGGTGGCATTGTTCTGTTTCTCGCGCTTGGTGTACGCATTGCAGGAACATTCAAAAGACACCCTCATGAGTCCTATGACGTAACTCTTGGGAGCCAATGTCTGTGCCCTTTGGAGCTTCCTTATGCTGACTGTTCACTAGTATAAGGCCTTTCAAAGTTTTCATTAGGCAGATTTCAACGAGTTATATTGGCAGGGGAAAAAGTAAAATATGCCTTTGGCTGATAGGGAGTGAGAGAATTGGTAACTATGTTTGTCATTGTATCACTGTCCTTTAAAACCATCAGGTTTGTCGTCTGACAGTTTGCTTGGGGCAGTTATCTTCACAATGTAGATCACTAGTAAAGCTTGAGTTATTTAGCACTCATTCAGAATTAAGAACCAAACAATTGAGTAACTAATCTCCAATTCTCTGTACTGAGGATGTGCAGAGAGTGGGTGGCATCAGGATAGAGCTAGTTAGGGAGTCCGTGACGGTGGGCCTGGCTAGATAGGATTGAAACTGGCAAAGAGAGCAGAGATTAAGACCAGGAAAATGAGCAGTGGGAATAGGCAGGCACTGATTAGAGTGCAGGAATTAGCTACTGTAGACCAGGACCCAAATGCAGGATTCGGGCAGTCAAACGATAAAGGCCCGTTTAAAGGGACAGGGCATAGCAGTGAGGGAATAAGGATGAATGTTGATTCCGAGCCCCACTTAGAGGCTGTGTGAGCTCAGGATACCCCATACTTGCCACCTGAGGCTGCATCCGGTCTCCCAGCAGGAAAAAGGTCTGGTAGTAGATGAGCACACCTTCCCTGATCAGAGAGAGGGTCTGAGGGGACCTGGCTGAATAAGTATTCTAAATGACTCAGCCCACACACGTTTCATTTTTTCTTTATTTTACCAGTGACTGAAAAATTCTACGAGAGCGAATCCTGCACAGACAGCGAAGAAGAACTTAAGATGAAGACATCGTCCATACACAGACCCCCAGCAATGACTGTCAAAAAAGAGCCCAAAGAGGAACGAAAGGGCCCCAAGAAAGGAACTGCTGCTGTGGGCAAAGCCAACAGACAAGTGTCCATCACTGGCTTCTTCCCGAGGAAGTGAACTGCCATCTCTGTTGGGTCAGGGATGTGGAGTGGTCGGGGGGAGACCAAGACATACAGACTCTCACTTACTGTGTAAGTTCGTCTAGCGCCTCACTCACCTGTGTCAGAGGGCTGTTCTTCCGTCTGTAAAGTTTGTGCTACCGGTTTCTAGCCAAAAGAAATCACCTGGAAGCAAGAGGCAAAAGAATATTTAAACAGCTGTTACCTTCTAATGACATTTTTAAAGCATAGTCTTTGACCTGTCCAGCAGAAGACTTTACTCAAAAAAAAAAAAATGGAAACAGGCTTCAGAATTATCACTGAAGCCATTTAGGAGCTAACCCACTGCTCCCTGCCCACCCTGGGTCCTGTCCGCACATGACTCAGGGAGCCTTCCTGCTCGTTCCTTTGATTCTGTGGGCTTGTGTGGTATTCTTTCATCCCTGCGTTTTATTGGATGTGTGTACCACTCTCTTATCACCCCTTCCCCTCTAACACAGTTCTTTGTGAAGCCATTTTCTGTAACTTTTAAATCTTCGGTGAACTAAAGGCTGAAACGAAAACACCCCTATAACCATCTTTTCCTCCGTTGTAAAGCGCACTGACGCCTGGCCGCATACCAGCACACTGCTTGGGTTCTGCCCCATTCACAAAAGCTCTCTGGACCAGCACTCCCAACTCGCGGTTAGGGAGCACGAACAGAAATGTAATGGCGTGTTCAACTCCGCCAGAAATCACCAAGTCCGCGATGACAGGATAGAGGGCGTGTTGTGTTGCTGACGTGGAGTGTGGTGCTCTTCGTGACCTCGGTCTCCTCCCCTCTCACCCTTTCCCACTTTCAATACCTAGAGAGTGAAACCCATACAATGAAATGAAGGCTAAAAAGAAAGCTTTTCCTACATGCAGTATGTAACAGTTAAGTAAAATTCTTTTTAAGGAAGCTGAGCGTTCAGAAACAACAGTTTTCCAGGAAGTTCATGAGGAGGAGAGAAAAGGACACACTTACAATACAGATGTTGCTCCTCTGTGCTTTTAACCCTCCCATTTGCCCAAAAGTACAGGCTCCCTGAGAAGAGATGGAGAGACTGAGGTATTAGGAGGTCCAAACTGCTACTAAATAAATATTTTCACTTGTTCCTTAAGGAAAATCAAGTACTGCAGTGATAGCTTTTAAGCGACTTCCATTGTGGCTGGACAGTGGGCTCAGTGGATGGAGGTGGGGTGGCAGTGACCTGCACAGTGAGCCCTGGGAGACAGGAATACAGGCTTGGCTGCTGGTGTGATTCACTGCAAACAGACCAGGGATGTCTGACTTCTTTCCATCTTAGCCTGGTGTACGTCTTACGTGACACAGCCTGCTACGTGCTGTTCAAGTGCGTATTGTAATGGACCTTGGACAAAGAGCAGCTTCTTGAGCAGCTGTCACCTTGGGCTCTCTAGCCAGGCACCCCGTGGCCTTGATTAAGCCCAGAGGTTTGGCATCACTTCTAGAACTTGTAAAGGCAGAGGCTTATGTAGCAAGCCGAGTAAAGGTTGACATGTTCCAACCCCCTTTCTTTTTTACATCTAAAAGGATGGAGAAAAACCTAAAAGCCTAAACTTAAACCTTTACAAAAATTTCTGGAGAAGAATCCCTTTTAAATGGTTATTTTTGTCATTACCTGCAGTGGCAAAAAATACAAATGAAAAATTAAAGAAAATCAACTCAGTCTTTTCTTTTTTAATTATGCTGAGGTCTCTAGTAGACTGAATTTTGAAGTGGAGATCTCCGGTGCCGGCAGAAAGGGTAGTGCAGACCCTGGGACAGCAGTCCTGTGGCGGCTGTGTGCCGCCGGCAAGATTTCCTTAGTAAGTGGTGGCCCTTTTTTTTTAATACAAAACTACAGTGTTACCCCATGAGTTAAATAAATCTGAGGAGTTGTTTTAAAATAGTTCTTTCAACTGAATGTCTGATGAGTCTGTTACTTGACAGGATGGCAGCGGTGTGTTCGGTTATTTAAACTGAACAGGAACAAGGCTGGTTTTCCATTTATGTTGTGAAAATTGCATACCCATAGTCTGAGATAGACAAGTTATTTGCTGCCTTCATCATTTTTTCAGCCCTGTGGGAAATCTTAGTTCCAGCCAACTCATTTTTTAGTTCATTTAGAAGAAAATCTAGTCCTGATCTTGCACATTGTATTAGTTTGGCTTCGTTACTTGCTAGCTGTGTGACCTTGGGCACATTCCTGAGCCTCAGGTTCTTTACCAGAAAAGAGCGAAAAAGAGTCACCATGGACCGCCAAGACTGAAGTACTGTGTGTACAGCATAAATTTAGTACACAGAGGCAGCACACAGGTGCTCCACAGACAGTGGCTTCCTTCCCGATGTCATGAATGATGCATTTAGCTACCAACGTCCTGAAATGTTATCAAGGATATGGCCCAGATGTTACGCTCTTTCAAAGTCATCATTCTGCCTATAAATGTGGTCAGAGAGGGAAGACAGCTGTCCAGTTTTAGAATGGTTTTAGGCAGATATTATCCTATTGAAAGAGATTTATAGAGGGCTATATTACTGTTCACTAAAACATTTATTGTGTGTCTATTTTGGTCAGAACTCTGATCCGGCCACTAGAAGATATAATGGAATCCTCGAATTTGTCACTGTCCTCATGATCCAGTGGGAAAGACAAGCCAGTAAAATAAAAGTATAGCATCACTGAGAGTGCAGTGACAAATAAGCACAGGGTCCTCTGAGAGCTCCTGAGGGTGGGTGTGGAGGAAGTCAAGCAGTTTTTTTAAAAAGATGAATAGTATTTTACCAAGCAAAGAGGGCCTGAAAGGATTTCCCAGGCAAAGGAGCAATGGCTTTGGCAGGAAGGGGCATGGGGGATGGAAATGGACTGTTGGATTTAGGAATAGGGAGGATGAAGTTGGGGTCCTGCTAAGATGTGTGAATTTTATTCAAAGACTGAGGTCCAAGTGAAGAATTTTAAGGGGTAACAGAAGTTGATTCTCATTTAGGAGTGATAGCTGGGGCTTAGGTACAGGCTGGTGGTATAGGACACTGAACTTGCTCCCTCTCATAAGCACGCTGAATTGTACACCTACACATAGAGTAATTACCCCGGAGAGACCGCTGAAAGCTGGTTGGTTACCTTCTGTGCAACAAGTGAAGAGAGAGACCCAATAGAGAAGGCTAGGCAGCTGTGGGAGCTCTCTGGGATTGGGGGAGCTGGTGGGTGTCATTGTCACGTCTTCCTCCACCTTGGTAGAGTGAGCAGGAGCTCCGTGCAGGTGCTCTGGTCTGCCTGCAGGGTAACTGGCGCATTCCCAGGAACATTGCCCAGAGTCCATTTGGGCCTCAAAAAGGGAGCAGGTAGGATCAACAGGGTATTACCACATGCACCTGTCCTCCCTGCCCTGAGCTGCTGCAGCTGGACAAGCCAGCACCCCAGGCGCCAGTAAGCACCTGCCTGGCTCTAACCACCAGCCGTAAGTACCTCGCACTCAGCCCACACTGACGTTGCTTCTACACAAGACCACTTTCTTCATGACAAATGAAAGAAACCTTATAGAGAAGACTAGGAAGCTGCAGGAGTTCTCCAGAATATGTGGGAATTCTCCACTATCTGAAGTGTTGAGCACCATTGTTTACATTCCCCTCTACTTCAGCAGAGTGAGCAGGAGCTGTCTCTAGGTAGTCTGACCCTACAAGACCACCCCAGTGCTTTCCCAGCCACATCACCCAGAACCCATTCTGTCTCTGAACAGAGGGATCAAGCAGGATCAACAGGGCATTAGTACATGCATCGGACCTCCTCAGCACCAATGGGCCTGCCTAAACTCCCGGCATATGTGGTTCATACAGAGGTTGCTTCTACACAAAGCCAGGTTTTTCAAGACTGGGGAAGATAGCTATTTTGTGTGATTCATACAAATAAACATAGAAAGTCCAACAAAATGGGAAGATAGAAGAATATTTCTCAAATGAGAAAACAGGAAAAATATCTGGGACATGGGCAAGGGGAAGAAGCCCTAGTGAATCAAATAAGTAATTTACCTGATTAGGACTTAAAGGAAATCTTACCAAACTTGAGAGTAGACCAGAGGAATTTAGGGAGAACTTCAACAAAAAATAAATGAACCAAGCAGACCTAAAGAATACGGTAACTGAAATGAAAAATACTCAAAAGAAATGAACAGCAGATGAACTAATACAGATGAACAGATAGATCAGTGACCTAAAAGACAGACTAATGGAAATCAAAACAGCAAAAAAAAAAAAATTTTTTTTTTTCCAAAAAATGAGAGTAAGGAAACTCTGGAACAACGTAAAGCACACAAACATTGGCCAATATGCTCAATGAACATAAATACATAATTTCTCAACAAAATATTGGCAAACCAGATTCGACAATACAGTAAAAGGATTATACTATACACCATGACTCAGTGGAATTTATCCCAGGGACACAAGATGGTTCAACATCTGATGTAAACCAACTGATATGATACATCAACAAAATCAAGGATAGAAATCATATGCCATATTTTTTGGACTGTAAGATGCACTTTTTTTTACCACATTTTTTGTTTCAATTTTTTTTTCTATTTTCCTCGTCTAAAACCAAGGTGTGTCTTTTTCGGACCATAAGACACACCTAAGTTTTAAAGAAGGAAAATAGGAAAAAAACATTTTGAAGCAAAAAAATGGTAAAAAGGTGCATCTTATAGTCTGAAAAATATGGTAATCATCAGGGGTGTCCAATCTGCAGCCCACAGACTGCGTTGGCTCAGGATGGCTATGAATGCAGCCCAACACAAAATCATAAATTTACTTGAAAAGCATTGAGGTTTTTTTTTGTGTGTGGTTACATGTAGTTTGTTTAATGTGTGGCCCAAGGTGACTTTTCTTCCAGTGTGGCTCAGAGATGCAAAAACATTGGACACTCCTGATCTTACTTTATGCAGAAAAAGCATGTGACATAATTCAACATCCTTTTGTGATAAAATCAACAAATTAGGTATGAAAGGAACATACCTCAACAGAATAAAGGCTGTGTATGACAAACACAAAGCTACTATCATACTCACTGGGTGAAAAACTGAAAGCTTTTCTAAGATCAGGAACAAGCCACGGATGCCCACTATTGCCACTTCTAATCAACATAGTGTTGGATGCACTAGCCACAGAAATCAGACCAATAAATAAAAATATAAAAGACATCCAAATTGGAAAAGAAGTAGTAAAACTCACTATTTGCAGATGACATGATCTATGCATAGAACAGACTCCATTGGAAAACTAATGAATTCAGTAAAGTAGCAGGATATAAAAATTAATATTCAGAAATCAGTTGTATTTTTATTGATTATGCTATTACAGTTGTCCCAATTGTTCCCCTTCTTCCCGCCGACAAACACCCCCTTCTATGATCCCACCTTCTCTACGTCTGTGGGTCGTGCATATAGGTTCTTTGGCAACTCCATTTCCTATGCTTGCTCAATATCCCCCTGCTTGTTCTGTAACTGCCAATTTGCACTTCTTAATCCCTTCACCTTTTCCCCCATTCCTCCAGATCCCCCTCCCCACTGGGCACCATCCCAGTGTTCTCCATATTAATGATTCTGTTTCTGTTCTGCTCGTTTGCTTGTTTTTTTAGATTCAATAGTTTATAATTATGTATTTATTGCCATTTTCATGTTCATTGTTTTGATCTTTTTCTTAAATAAGTCCCTTTAACATTTCATATAATAAGGGCTTGGTGATAGTGAACTCCTATAGTTTTTTCTTGTCTGGGAAACACTTTATCTGCCCTTCCATTCTAAATGATAGCTTTACTGGATGTAGGTCTTTGCTCTTCATCCCTTCGAATACTTCTTGCCAATCCCTTCTAGCCTGCAAAGTTTCTCTTGAGAAATCAGCTGACAGTCTTATAGGACGTTCTTTGTAGGTAACTATCTGCTTTCCTCTTGCTGCTTTTAAGATTCTCTTTAACCATTTTCATTTTAAGTTTGATGTGTCTTGGTGTGGTACTCTTTGGGTCCAACTCATTTAGGACTCTGTGCTTCCTGGACTTGTATGTCTATCTCCTTCACCAAATTGGGGAAGTTTTATTATTTTTTTCAAGTAAGTTTCCAATTTCTTGCTTTCTCTTCTCCTGGCACCCCTATGATGTGAATGTTGGGACACTTGAAGTTGTCCCAGAGATTGCTTATACTATCCTCGATTCTTTGGATTCTTTTTTTTTTTTTTTGCTGTACTGATTGGATGTTTTTTTTCTTTCTTATTTCCCCAATCACTGATTTGATTCTCAGCTTCATCCACTCCACTGTTGATTTCCTATAAATTGTTCTTTATGTCAATTAGCATCTGTTTTATTTCTGATTTTATAATTTTTTTTTTGAAGTACCCTGTGAGTTCCTTGAGCATCCTTATAACCATTGTTTTGAACTCTACATCTGATACATTGCTTATCTCCATTTTGTTTAATTCCTTTTCTGGAATTTTGAGCCATTCTTTCATTTGGGCCATGTTCATTTGCCTCATTTTAGCAGTGTCTCTGTATTTGTTTCTATATATCAGGTAGAGCTGCTATGACTCCCTGTCTTGGTAGCATGGCCTAATGTGGTAGGTGTCCTATAGGCTCCAGTGGCACAGCATCCCCCATCACCCAAGCTGGGTACTGGAGTTGCACCCTCTGTGTAGGTTGAGTACTCTCTCCTCTTGTAGATGAGTCTTGATTGCTGTCAGCCAGTCAATGGGAGGGATTTACCTAGTCTGGACAGGTGGTAGGACTGGCTATGACCCCTGGCCAGCAACCATCTCCCTCCATGGCTTGTGGAGGTGTTTGGGTGGTGCTTTGACATTGTAACTGTCCACTAGTTGTGTAGGCTCTGGGGATTCCAGGGTGGTGCAGTCCAAAGTCTGCCTCTACCTGTTTTCTGTTCCGGGC